GCCAAACAACTCAAACATATATGCGCTCAGGCGATCAAAAAATCAGTGCATTGAAAGATGATTTTTTTTTTTGTAGCCAATGAAATACAACTGACTTCACGCGAAACTTAACATAATTACGGCGTTTTCTTCCAGTAAAGAAAAACAAAAAACATGGTTGAAAATTTGGGAGGGTGGAATATATAGTTTTTTTTTAATATATATATAGCTATAAGCAGCGGTAAACCGTTGCTAACGAAAAATGATTCTGAACGAAATTCGGTTAAACATATTTTGAAATGCCGTAATTGTTTACGATTTTCGACATAATTTAAAATAAAATAAGTAGACGTATTAAAAATTTAGTTTAATACTACAAACTTTTTTTGTTGTAACCATTAAGTAAAACATATATCTTGTGATCTTATCTGAGGTTTTCAAGCATTGATTTTTTGCAAAACAATTTATCATCTAAATAATACCCGAAAAAATGATAACTAAAAAAAAAAAAGCTTGAACATTTAAAATGCCTACAAATAGATCAAATATCGTAAAAAAAAAAAAAAAAATAAAATAAAATTTTGCTCCGTGTATAACAATTTAACAATTTAAGTATCCAATAAAAATATCAAATCTCTACGAATGTTTTTAATTAAATTAAAAAAATAAAAGAAATAAATAAATAAAAATAATGAAACTGTTATTTTCATAAACAATCCCGTTTTTAACATATTTTTTTCTTAAATAATAAGAAAACCGATTGCAAAATTAAAAATATAATCAATTAGGTCTGAAATGCATCAAAAGTGGTAATTTTTCTATCAGATCAAGATTTCTGGTAGTAAAGTGACACGCACAACATAGTATAATTAAAACATTTCTTTTCACTACGCTCAGTCTTATAAAGTCACCGACACGGATGTATTCTGTTACGTCAATAAAATTTTTGTTTACTTTTTCTTTATTGACGGCGTTTTTATATAGGCAATTTCGCTACAAATGATCGTCGCGTTTTCCACGACTCCGGAGAACTCTGACTATTAACAATTCAAATAATTTACATTAATCCGTGAAACAAAAATGAGTTGCTGAAAAATAGTCGGAAAAATAATCAGCGAGAGAAAACAAGTGCAAAGTGTGTCGATTACTCGAATACAGTTTAAAATGTTGACGAAAATTGAAAATTTCAATTAGATTTTATCTAGTTCGTGATCAATGTCGTAAACCGTCGAACATATTAAGTAACAATAAATATAATACGAATCGATAACCGATTTTACCAATGCGAAACCTTTTCTTCGGCACATTCTTTCTCTACATATTATTTCAAATTGTTACCAGTTATGACACGGTGAACTTTTAGACTCTGAGCGGAACAAGGAATATATTGATTTCACATTTCATTTTTTTTTTACTTTTTTACCAAAAATTTCCTTCGATATTCAAGTATAGTACTTTTTATGAATTCAAATTTTCCTGGAATGGTACTTTAAGCATGTTTTTATATTGATTTTCCCAGTGGTTTTTAAAATAAAATATAATAAATGGGAAAAACCGAGAAAACATCTAGGAAATGTTGAAAATTAACGAAATGTATTAATTTGAAATCGTAAATATTACGGCCTTTAAAAACATGTGCAACCGAACTCCTCCCGAATAGTTTTTCGTTAGCAATGTTTAATCGTTCCGTATTAATTACGTTACATTAAATTCCCTCTTTATACATTCCCAGTTTCTCACCTATAACATTGGCCCACCAATCGTGCAAAGTCTGTCCGTTTGTTTTTTTTACTAACGAGGCAAACGAAATTCGGCAGACTGACCATCTGAAATAATGAAATTTTTGATCAGTCGACGTAAGAGTCTTCTAAATCTTCTTCGCAAAGTGTCAGTCGACTTGATAAAATGTGACAGACAACAATATTTTTTTAAGGTATCGTGGATTTTTATTTTGTTTGAAAATGTAGAAGACACGAAAATGTATAATCGTCGTATGTATTATTATTAAGTTCTAGTATTACTTTTTAGTAAACACTTATCGAATCCGTACGCCTCGCACATCGAATTTTAGACTGGTCGCCTTTTTCGTGGTTCACTAAACAACTAGGAACTGTTGTTTAACACCATTCTGCAATTTATGAACACCCACAAAAATATTTATAACGTGCAATTAATTCGATTGAATCCTATATGCTAAAATTATTTTGAAAAATACATGCGGCGGACCGAAATAATTATTCTCTAGATATTGATTGTATGCATCCAACTATATTATCAATTAAATATCATACAGTTCTATTATCGTTTCTGATATTTTCTATTATCATTTATATCATATTGTTATTTCATAATTATTATAGTTTACGCGTATGTACAAACAATATGACGTTACAGAACCGATCATCATATAGGTGACCAAAACCACTCGTCCAACCACTGTAAAAATCCGGATGTCACGGTCACTCCGAAATCCCTTCACCGCGCCACTGATTACTAAAGTTACCATTGTCATTTCGAAACGTTAAAATACGATAATCACAACGATTATAATATAACGGATAATATTAAATTCGGCGGCGGAAAATTTTACACGACAACGGCGTGGGTTTCACCGGCTGACCACGCCTTGATTTCAAAAAAATTCACCGTTTATTAATATCTATTTTCATAATTATTCCGATGTCGATTAATTAGTTAAAACTCATCGGTGACGGAGCTAGAATTAATCTGGGCGAAGGCTGAAACACACGACCCCACCACCCGACTACACCAATGGTTACGAAACAACACGGTTTTTTTTCTGTACGTTGTATTACTGGATACAGCGGTGTGCACAAAGAGATCGAAGTGAGTAGGTATTAACCACCCTCCCCTGTCGAAACGTTTTCCTTCAATACATTTTTTTTTTTTTTTTTTTTTTTTTTTAAATTAAGTTTTGACATTTGATATTATAATATCAGCTCACGCCGCAGCATAAAACAAAATTTGATTTCATCGAAAATCATTTATTCGCTTGGTAACGATAACGTATTATTACGTCCTATCGCCTCGCTAGGGATTCATCATAACCGAAACCCGTCCGGAAAAAAAAAAAAAAAGAAAATCTCGCGTACGCCACTGACTGCGGGATACGGCGATGCTGTTCCGAAACGCTGTTACACTAATGTACGGTAACGACGGGTAATTTTTTTTTTTTTCGTCGGAAAAGAACGCGCGCGACTTCGCGGGTTTTACTCCGGGTCGCGCGCGCCGAACGGGCGACGACAACTAGGAGGCGCTAGGACTAGTGACACGAGACACGATAACGCGGATGACGGAGGCGATAGTAATAATATATTGTCGTGCGCGCGCCAAGACGAGCGCGCGCCGCCACCGCCGCCGTTCTTTCGGCGCCTTGTAAAACTTCGGGCGAGGAGTCGACGAAAACTATTCGCGCGCGATATTTAATCTGATCGATGGAAAGTAAACGCCGGAAACTTTCGCGCGGCTCGTATAATACGCGCAAGACAAACACAGCGGACGGAGAAGCCGTTCGCGTATAAATAAAGGTACGGGTAGAACGGCACACCTACGTGCCGAATCGTCGACCCGAAAATGGCGACACGCAATGAGAATAAATATGTCTCCCGCTGAGATATTTTCCACTTCCGGAAAAAAAAAAAAACGTTTGCGACCGACAAACACGACGAAAACACGTCGTGATTTTCCACGAAGGCATACTCTTAGGCTCGTATGAGAAATATTTTCGTTCTCGAAGAATACAGCTGTAATATATGAATCGCTACAGTGGCGCAATTGAGAATGTTTCACTGTTTGAGGTGGGAGTATCAAAATAAATATTCATAACAGACTTATGAGGAATTTCGCCCCCACCCGTATCTAAATATTTTACCTCGTCACACATCAATTTATACTTATTTTGTATTGATCATAAAAATTGACAAAAAAAGTTAAACAAATTTACTATAAATTGTTTAATTACATCTATAGATATTACAAAAGTATGTCCAGATTCCCAAGGGGCTTTTTAGTGAGTCCATCAATGACCTATTTATTAAAAAATTTAACAACATAATGTAGCTTTTGTTAGAGCTTCATTGCCAGACTATAAGGTATTTTCTTAAAATGTGTATATAAATACAGCTTATAAAGGGGATCTATCCTTCATAACCCCCTCCCGTAATTACGCCCCGAAATCACTAAACGCTGGCAATATGAACTCGTGGGTTTAAATTTTAAAAACCTCTCAAGATAAACAAAAAAAACTTCTTAAATGAACACCACACTCGCGTTTACTGCCTAACTGACAATATTAAGTGTTACTCTGAACATAAATTGTAGCGTTCAGGTTGAAATAAGAGATTGAAACACGAGTAACACGATTTAAAGAGTAAAATAATATTTTCGAATAACGATTATAATTCTTAGTTTTCTAAATGTAAGTTTAGAGAACTTACCCACGGTGTGTCCATCCGTATGGTTACGGATTTTGTCTAACTTTGTTGATTTGATTGCTAGGTTATAAATTGAATTCGAAGCATTTAGCACATAAAATTCACAGTAAAGCGTTTAAAAATATCGAATTAACTCTAAAAAGAACACTTGCAAATATTTAGAAAAACAAAAATAGTAGAAGAGTTTGTAAATATGTCCCGTTAAACCCCTTTACCATTTTTTTTTTCTTTTTCAAATACATTTAAACTACTGGTTACTAGGTTGACCCAGCATTTTCTAAATTTTATTTTCCTGAGATATCTGTATATTTAGATGTTAACAATTAAAACAATAAATAACAACAATAGCACTAAGTGAAACTAAGCACGGTGTTTTGGTAAGCTTTCCTAACTTGTTTTCTATACAATTATTATATCATACAAAAAAGTTATAACCACATAAGTTAAGGGTTTTCTTTTTTAAATGGCTATAAATTTGTTAATGGCGATTTTTTTGAAAAAGATATGTTCAGCATTCGGAAATAATTTTTCCTTACATTTCGTTGTTTCCGTTCAGACTTTAATTTCAACCCGAATGTAACATTTAACAATTGTATTTTGATGCTTATGTTAGAAAAATCAGGTGTGGTGTCTACTTAAGCTCTTAGATGCGTATAATATTCTACTCTTTCGCCTTCATTCTTGCTATTTGCGGTCAGCCCCCCCTAGAATTTGTAATATTTCATCAAATGCCTATAGTAACTCAGAGTCTACGATATTTTAATTCAATTTTTCGGTAGTAGTAGTAAAAGTAGAAGTATTCCGATTTTTTCATAGATATTAATTGTTTTTTTTTTTTGTCTTTCTTGATAAATAATTTCTACGATTCGTAAAATTAATCGAACGGGTATTTAAATGATTGAATGTGATTTATACGAATTATAAGATGTATATTCACTGAACGTATTGTTATAACTTTATAAGCATATCTTAAACATATTATTTGTTGGTGTTGTGGTGGTGGCAAATGAGGGGAGGGTAACTTCATTTTCTCCGTAATTATGATATTATCTAATAAAACACTGTTCGAATGCATATTATACTAGTAAGTTTCAATGACTTGACGCCTATGCCGTATATTCGTTTAATAAAATATTGAATAAAAAGTCATTTTAATTTAACGGATATACATATATGCGATTACGCCAAGGAACGATTTGAAAGGATTATTTAGCATTAAAGTTTAAAGGTGCCTCTGAGGATTATCTTTGTATAGGATTTTAACTGTTTATACACGACTATGCTACCAAATTTTTTTTTATTTTTTTTAAACCTGATAATCCCTTAAACTCATCTCATTGTGCGCTGGCTGAAAACTTTTACCTTTCACTGCAGCTAATACTTTGTCGAGTATAGCTACCTACCCACGCATAACAGATCCAAGAGTTAATATTCTGTATACTTTTATAGCCTTGATGGCGATCGACGTGTAAATCTTTTCGATTTTCTCGTAGCTAGACCATTGAAACTTTTAATTTTTAATTATTTACTATCGCACGAGGAAAATCTCAAACAGGTTTATAGTACTATTATGTTTATTACATTTTGATCGTATTAACACTTTAATGTTCATGAAACTTGACTCATAAATAAATATTAACTTAGAACAATCTCGTATTTAAATCAAACGTAATATTTAAACTAAATATCATGTCAATGTAAAACTTATAAAAGTTATAGCTTTTAAAATCAAAAAATAACAAAACGATTCTATTTTACTAAAAAATTTAAAAATCGAATCTATTGGTACCTAGGTATTTAAAAAAAAAAAAATGTAGTAAATATTAAAAATTAATAATCAATTACTTGGGTATTTCGATCAAAATATAAACAACCTGTAACCAGTCAACTATTCAATTTAAATAAATATTTTCAAATAGTAAATTTTCATACTTGAAAAGTCATTCTAAGAATATAAGATTTATATTAATAAACATAATAAAAATATTAAATAAAATAAAAATCTGGGCATACATCGCATTATGGGTGGGCTCACTGTTGTAGGAAGAAAGCTGGGAAGATATATGGGAAAATAATGATAAATCATTAGTCTAAATTTTTTTATGAACGGAGCTCAGTAAACTAGTAAGATCTTTGAAGTGCAAGTCGCGTATTTTCCACGTGTATTTGAAGAGACCCAGAAATCGATATCGATGAATTTTTTTAGAAAAATTTCGGAAATTTTCAGATTTGTTTCGAAAGTACTACCGGGCGAATAATTCGTATATTTTGAGATACGGAATGGTGAATAATTTGAAAAATGTTTACTAACTGAAAAAAATACATATCAGAAGGGAAGCAACAATTAAAAAAAAAAAAAAATAATACAATTTTATCAGATGTCATTATTCGTAATACTCATCGCATTTGAGAAATTGCATTTGATAAATCAAAACTCGATCGTGTATAAGTATATTTTGACTAATGAACCTGACATTTAAAATAAATTATCCGGTGTGTAGATATATAGTGACGGTAGCATCTTGTGCCGGTGTATGCATAACACAATACTATTATATAGAGTTTAAAATAAATCAGCTAAAACACGAGCTCTGTCTAATCGGCTTCCTCTATAACTATTACAAGTAGGTAGAAAAGGAAAATCATTGTCTTACGGTCGTATAAAACGTGTCGGTCAATACTCACGGCTACCAGGTTTGTTCTTGTCCCGAAACGGTTTCGTTAGCGTTAGACTGTATAATTTATTACAATGGTTACAGTGACATAGGTATCGTTACCGAGGGATAATAAAGATAGCGTTTATCGCTGAACTATGGAGTTTTCCTGCGGAAAAGGAAAAATGGAAGAAACGAAACTACAATGTGTATTCTCTATTATATTTTCATAAACGATTAGCAAAAAAAAATAAAATAAAAAATACATCTGATACTACATATGGGAGGGCCGTTGTTGTAGATGGGAAGTCGACGAGGCGGGATAAAAAGAGTTATTTATTCATTTATATCTATGAGAAACGATAAACGATTCTGAGCGGTGAATTTCGTTTAAAAATAATTTTTAAGGCCGTAATATTTACGATTTTCATTAAAATTTGATTATAAAAAAATTATTACATTACACTCTATTTATGTTTATTTTTACTACTAAGTACAACTTATAATGAACTTTTCGTTAAATTTTGAAGCGTGTTTGGTAGATCTAAGAATTATATCCACGCTGTATTTGTTAAATAAAAACTCGCTACATAAAGTGCCTATATATAGCTCAAAAGTCGTCAAATTGTTACCACGTTTATAAAAGTAAAATATAAGTTATCTGTCAAAATTTCAAGACTCTACAAATATTTTTAATTGAATCACAACAACGACAAATTGTATAAAATTGTATATTTATCATTTATTAATTTATTATTGGCTATACAGGGACCAAAATTTATTTAAAGTAATACTCTACCTCTTTATCGATTTTCTAATCCAGTCTAGAAGGTTTTTCCTGTTTTTTCGAGAGGCCCGCCGCGGTTGAAGCAGTATTCGCATTAATACATTTGTATCAGAACATTTCAATAATACTATTAAATAGAAAATATTCAATAATATAATTATTGACTATTAATAAAAATACTCTAATATATTGTGCAAACGACGTTTAAGTTCAAAACCAAATATTATATATTTAAGTACCTAGTAACAGAATTATCTAACATACTGTTCAGTAAGCAATAGTCAGGCACGTGTACAAAGGAGTGGGGGGGGGGTTGGAGTTGGGGTTCAACACTCCCTCCCGAAATTTCATTAAAATTCATTGAATGTAGATTTGTAATAAAATTTCAAAAGTGGTTTTTGTCCAGAAAGACAGGAAGATAAATAAAATTTTGGTTTTATTTTTATTTTACAGCTAAACAGTAGGTATATATTGTAATTATTGGCATTCATCACTATTTGTGGTTTTTCTGGTTTTAGAAAATTATAACTGACACGGCGATATTGCATTAAAACATGTAAAATTTATTACTAGGCATCTAAGAGGCTAAAAACGAATGATATTAAATATTGACATTTTTAATGAAAAATAAATAATCCTAAAATTGAAAGTAAGTAAATTTCATTGTCATGATAGTATGAAAGTGTACAACCTTAAACCCCAAAAATATTTTTTAGTAAACGCACCTGACAGTAGTAGTAAAATTATGTCTACACTTCAATCTGAATTCTACACTTCCTTTTCTTACAGGACACTCGTTATCTCGGAAAGTACGTATATTAACTTTTGTTGGATTTTAGATTCTGAGTGGGACCAGGAATAAATTGGTTTTACAATGACTTTTAGTTTATTTTTTTCGGTGAACAACTTTTCATCCAGATATTTTGCTCTGATTTTCAAGTGTAGCACTTTTTCTGAAAGGAAATCTGACTAGTAGTGGTACTTTAACAAGGTTATTTTTTTATAAGAGGTTTTTATAATAAATGCGAAAAACCTAGAAAATTGACGATATGTATTACGTTCAAATCGTAAATGTTACGGCCTTTCAAAACATGTTAAACCGAAATTCACTCAGAATATTGTATTTCGTCAAAAACGATTTATCGTCGTTTATAGAAATAAATTAACTAACTTTGTCTTCTTAACTTCCCACATACAGCAGTTGCCGCCCGTATCCAGTATCGGCTGCTTTTTTTTTTTTCTTGAAACATATTATAATCTGAAATGTTTAAAAAGAATCGTGCCGTTACGTGGCATTGAGCGATGGCGCATTATCTAAAACATCGAAACTTTTTATATAATATTATATTCAAGAATTTACGGTTCGGAAGAAAGATATATCGTTATAAGAGTGTGTCAAAATAATAATTAATGAATATATATTTTTTTTTTTTTTTTTTTTTGAAGGCGGCATCACGTCATCTGAAAGACAATTATTTTATAACCACGGAACCAATGTTCTTCAAATAGGTATGCGTAAACATTATAATCAGTTATTGCGAGTTTATACCTACTTATCGAATTATTTATTCGAAATGAAAAATCCACAGGGAGCTAATAAATTTTACAAAATATAAACGAGTAAACACTGATTTTGTTGTAACTTTAACGTAAACTGCGTATATCATAATGCAACTTGTGAAATTAGTGTACGCAGTCGTAGTCGTAACGTGTTATGGTATATATTTAGAAAAATTGAATTTGTTTGTGTTGAGAACTATACACGATTGACTTGAGCTTTTCTTCACTTCCCTCCCCCCCCCATCACTACCCGGTTCGACGTAATTTTTACTAAGTAATTTTACAATATAATATTCTCAAATAATTGAATAACATTGTTTTTTCAATTTTTAATAATTGTTCGTCAACCGAATCACTAAAACAGTTTATAAAAATTCACTATATATGTACAGAGTCTCCTACGATGATATGCCACTTGGAATAACTTTTGTTCAATTAAATTTTTTTTTTAAGCGGAGAGTACTTAAGATAAACAATTTAAAATGTTACTATTATTTTGCTAAACAAATTCGAAATAGCTATTTTGTAAAATAGATGTTTAGAAAAATATCTGCGGTTAAAACTTTTGTTAAAGTATGGTCTTTTGTTCATAAGGCTATGAAATATTAAATAAGTATTGAACCCCTTGTCGAGTATACAAGGTTACATTTTCAATTGATTTCGATCGTATTGATTGTACTCGTTTAATATGCCATCTACCACGACTTTGTTGAACGAAAAGCAAACGGGAGATGTGTTTAAAGGTTCCTTGTAAAACTATTCTAAGTTTAAAGTTATATAAAATTTTTTACAAATCAAATTGTACGTAAAAATAGCTTGGGGTTGATGATTATTAGTGTAACGTTATAAAATCGTATTTAAAAAGTTAGAGTAGTTAGGACATAGAAATCCTTCTACTGATTTTGCTTTTTTAAATATTTTTCGAGTGCTTTTTTCGAGTCTATTTGACGTTTTTAATTGTTTTTTTGTGGATTTTAAGTCTTGAGCTCTAATAATAATATTAATAAGATAAGTCAAATATTAATAATAATTGTAAGTAAATAAAATTTTTTTGATACTCTGTCCGTGAATAGTCATATGATATTACAAATTGATTATGGTTTCAGTATTATAATTATTATTATTATTTTTTTTTTTTTAGAATTCATATTAAACAGGTATTCGTTTATTGAAAATGTGTCAAATTTTTATTATCAATTTGTTTTCTTTGACCTATGGGTCATAGTGATTATATTTCGTAGGATAATAAATCATTACATAAATATAAAAAGTAATAAACAGTTAGAAAAAAATATTCTTTATATTTTATACGGGCACATTTACACTCCTTTTACATCTATTTTAGATTCACTAAGAGATCAACGAAATTATTATGAATATAGTAATTGCATCGTATAGGTACGATTATTATATTTTTTTTCGTTTAGCGATTTTTTAAACTCTAAGTGGAACAAGGAATGTATTGGCTTTACAATGATGTTTATTTTTTTTTTTTTTTTTTTATGCAAACACTTTTTCCATCAGAAAGCATACTCCAAGTATCCAGTACATTTTCTTTGGGTGGTACTTTAAAGAGGTCATTTTTTGAAATTCTCATTAATATTCTAGATAGTAAGGAAAACATCGGTCTTTAAATTAAAAAAGATTAAAAACAAGGTTGTCATTGGCAACCGTTTTTATTTATTTTTTCGTTATTAATTTTTTATTATTTTAATCTTTTTTAAACAATCATTGTTGTCATAGAAACGCAGATTGTTTTAATTATTTTACCATATTATGACATAGTACCACATATTATATTGTTGACAAAGCAACATTATCAACTTAATTTAACTCAGAATCGTTTTTTCATTAGCAATGATTTATCATTGCTTACGGATGTACATTAAATTCCTGTTCGTTGCCTACCTTTTCAACTTCCTCGCAACAGTGGCTGCACCCATGTGTGAAGTATGTCCGTCCTTTTTTTTATTCATTCTATTTAATATTGCAAAAAAGAAAAAAAACGATTACCATACATGCACGAGACAATAAGTCCACCGGATGAATGTGACATATTTTAGACACATATTATAATGAAATTTTGTATAACCGATGTAGTTTAGTAAAGTGCATTTAAGTGCTCGTGAAGCTTTAAAAATGTATTTGGAAATATATTTGTATGGATTTCGATTAGAAAAGTTGATAAAAATGTCAAAAAAACACGTTAATTATCGATACATTTATTTGAGGCCACTTGGAGTGGTATACAGAACGTAACAGGACTATTTAACAAATGAAATATCGTGAATATTTTTAAGTGTTTTTTTTAATTATTATTAAATCAAGGCGTTATTATTTAAATAATATTTTAATGTTTCAAAATTCCAAAAAAAATGTAAATCTGTATTTAAAGTTTTTAAAAAAAAATGATATTGCCATTTTGTAAATCTGATTTTTAGAAAAGTTTTGGTGTTTAAAGCTTTTACATATTCGAGTAAATTATATTTAAAACATTTTCACAGTTTTATGAAATATGGCATTTTTAAATGTATACATTTTCAAATGGATAATTTGATTTTGCCATGAAATAAATTGTACAGTTTGATAATATTAACATCATATTTTTAACTTGTGGTAAGCTGTGAATCTGATCAATTGTTTTTGGCTAATCAAATATGATTTTGTGTTAGCGAATTAATTAAGGAAAACATTTTTATAAACTTTAAAAATTGTTTAAAAATGAATGACGTAACCTAAGCAATTGATATTATTTAAACGCCTACAATAATTTATTTAAAAAATAATTTATAAAATATCTACCTTAGATAAAAAAAAAAATATTTTTTCATTTTTATTTGTAAAGTAGCAACGAAATAAAATATAAAGTATAAAATGTATAGTGAAGTTCTAGTAAATATTAACAAAAAAACAAATTCCCACATTTGCTAGATAGTCCTGTTGCGTCTTGTATTAGTAAAATTAACCAAAATAAAAAAAAAAAAAAACATAAAATTGCAGTTATAGCCCATAAAGACATTTCAGATTATACTTATAAGACATATACAAATATATGGAACTTACTTTAGAGAGAAAAGAGTTTCAAAATGTTTTATTTGTTTTAAAAATAATACCTACTTCCGATTTCTAGCGAAAAATCAATACGATTTGCAATGTAATAATCTATTTTATAATTTTTTCACAAAGCACATTTAAAATTGGTAAATAATTTGACTGAAATTTTAATTGGACGGTTATTTCTATTATGTAGGCGATTGAACTCGAACTGTATTTGAATAATGGACAGTTGAGTTACTCTAATTTTTCTAAATCGTTAAAATGTTAAGAGAACATTTCCCATGTGTTGTCTCCGTCGTACAGCCATCACGCGCATAGTTGATTTTCGTTCAGCAGGGACAAATATGAGCTGTTAATTTTTAATTTCAAAGTGATTATAAAACCAGTATATCGAACTTAAAGATAATAATATTATCTGCGTAGTGTCGTCGTTTGTTTTCGTTTATTTTTTTTTTTAATTTTTATTTTTTTCAACTCGCTCTAATATTAAAACTGACAGTACAGAATTGCCCCGGCTGAACGAAAATTTGCCATGTCACCGCGTTTGTATGACGGAGACAGCACATGCGGGTATGGCGTCCTCTAAGTATCAAGTAGATAATTTTATAACATTAATTATGAAAATTTAATTATCAATAACGACGACGATAACGTTATTGTCACGCAGTCGTATCTATAACATGTTGAGTTTTTTCAAATATCCAACACGACTATAGTCGGTTATAATATTGTTACAATTAATTCTGTTATCAACGTGTCCTCGATTTAACGGTCGACCTGCTCCGGTAACTATACAGGTAAACGTCGCATTAAATATATAATCGAGTGTGCTCAGCCAACTAACATATACGTCGTAATACATTTTTTTTTTAAGTCGACTATATATATAATACGGCTTTTGACATTATGTATAGTTAGTAGGTGGTCTGGATATTTCCAGTGTTCGTAAAATCTTTGACGCTTCGGTTTTAAATCCGAACCCCATAGCGTTCTCGTTATAAGCAGTAATACCTGTAATGCAGTACTCGAATTGGAAAACAATTAGAATGGGAACGCAAAAATGTAAAAAGAAAAAGCGATTCAAAGCACTGTACCGAATAATAGTAAACAATTATTTGGTTTAACAAAATTTAGGTGCAAACGGTAGAAAACAATGTGTGTGTGTGTGTGTGTGTGTGAATAAAGTTGTACATTGATAAAGTAAATAATAATAATCGACATCACGAAAAAAACTACGGGAAAGAAAAAAAATCGCCCGTTCAAGTGTAGAACGATTTGTAGTTATAATACTTCCGGTTTATTCGGATGTCATAGCACTAACTCGTATACACGCGTTTGTGGAAACTTACTGTCATCCGCAATGCAGTTGTCTGCTGTTAGATGACAACAAAAAACTGCATTTGTCCGAAGTTCCAACGCTGTAGAGTAAATCAAACAAAAAGTCAACAAATTATATCAGGGTGTATTTATTATTATAATTGCGAATGAAAAGTAAAACTGTCTAATATAAAAAAAAAAAATCTTATGTACAGAAAAAAATCACATCACAGTAATCTAATCATTCCTGGCTAGGTACGCTTAAAATAAAAATACAACAGAAAAACGTGATTTTTTTTGATTTTCGTTAAACGTGAACTAAAAAAAAAAAAACTGTACTAGGGTAATGGGGACGGGTTCAGTTTCTTTTGTAGGCAATTTAATGTATAACTGTGAGCAAGAATTAACCGTTGCTAACGAAAAAAACGATTCTGAGAAGTCTTCGGTTGATAGCGTTGCTTTATCAACAATATATACGAGTATGTCATATTATAGTAAAATAATTACATATTCATTATAAATTTTCTTTAATAATATTTATTTAATATTTTACCTATTTTCCGGTTTTCCTGGTTTTTCATATTTCATGGGAAAACTTCAGGAAAAATTGAAAAATAACTTACTTAAAGTACCCCGATTTCATTTCAGAAAATGTGTTATTTGTGTAAATCGGAGAAAAATTGCTGATAGAAAAATTGTTCACAGCATTAAAAAAGGCCGTAATATTTTTTTACTTACAGCTTCAATATTCACACATTTTTCCATTTTTTCCTAATTTTTCACATTTGTTGAAAAAACTTCTGGGAAAATCCAAAAATGAACTCCCTACAATACTTCCCTAGTCAGATTTCCTTTCAGATAAAGTGACTGATACTTGTGAATCGGAGCAAGATTTCTGGTTGAAAAGTTGTTCATCCATACAAACAATAAAGCTCCACTAAGAATCTAAAACAAGTTGGGAAATCTCTCTTTGCAAACATGTTTCCGGTTTCTAAAATTATGTTGAACAATACACTGTAATTTGAAAAATTTGCTATCTGATCTAGTTTATTTGTATTATATTTTTACTTCGAAGAATCCTAAAAAAAAAATTAAATATCTTAATTTGCAAATAGTTGGTAAAATATTTTTGAAATTCTCAGAGTACTTTCTAATTTATCTAGTATGAATTTTATATTCAACATTCATATTTAAATTAATAATGGAAATTATTTATAAAATAATGGTGTTACCAACAATAAACATATTTTCTCGTCAACCAGATCAACCACCGCAACTATGTACTACTACCTATACGGACGGACATATAAAATATCCATATACTGGGGGGTATAGGGTATTTTAACCTTTGTTTAGAGACCTAAAAACTATTAAATTACGCTCAATTTTTCATTATATAACCGCTAATTACGATTTATGTTAAACCTTACATGAAATGTTTAAGTAGTTTTGATCTGCGAAATTAGCTTTCTGCCTAAAGAACCAAAAAATAAATAAAATACCGAAAAATAGATCAAAAGTCATCAGAATATTTTTAACATTTTACCACGTCTAAAAATGACTAATATATATATGTATTCAGTGTAAATTGCACTGATCATCACGATTATTTTTAACTGAATAATAATAAATAAAGCATAATCGATAATACACAGAATCCGATGTTGCGTAAATTATACCCGTGTTTTCTAATCATTACACCAAAATAAATGAAAATCGACTAGTCAATGGTTCAACTAGACAACAATTTTTTCCATAGTTTTTCATTGTTCACAGGCAAAAGAAAAAAAGCGACAAAAGTATAGTAAAGCATAATAAAACATATTAGCGTTCTACTCTAAGCTCGAAATCTAAACAAAAATTCCATAGTGACCTACAATTATATTATTAATAATTTCAATACTATGCAGTGTGCACGATGAATTTGAAAACACCAGTGCGATAAAACGAAATAATTCCCGAACGAATATCAACAGATTCGAAATTGAAATATATATTTTATTGTACATAAACCGAAATGTTTTATTACAATTGGCAAAACAACGTAATAATTATTATAAATGTCTTCGAAGGTACGACTCTTGCGAGGCTCATTGTCGATTCTCGTGGATAGCCTGGAACTTTTGTGCGCGAGCCAAACGGTATTTTAGATTCCGATTGGTTTTACAATGAAGTTTATTTTTTTGTTCTATGAACAGTTTTTTGGTCAGAATTTTCGCTCAGACTTTTAGGTGTAACACATTCTGAATGGACATTTTCTGGAATGGGTACTTTGAACGGGTCATTTTTTTGATTTTCCAACGGGTCTTCATAATAAATGGGTAAAACCGGGAAAATGTACGAAATGTCTTATTTTCAAATCGTAAACATTATGTATAATCGTAAATTGTTCATCGATGCGTGCAAATATACATTTAGTTTCTTCTCTATCTTCCCGAAATCTCACCTACAACAGCGGCACACTCATCGTGCGAAATATGTCCGTTTGTTTTTTAATATAATTTTTAGATTTACTACGTAACGGGTTTTTTTTTTTTCTGTTATTATTACGATTATTAGGAACTGTGTAAAATGTTCTAAAATGTATTTATTTTTTTTCTTTTTCTTCTTTTTAATTTAAAAGAGTGGACAGTGATAACGCGCGTATTATATAGACGACCCGCATTATACGGGGAAGTACCATATAATTCAAAAATCTATCGCATTGTCCCGACATAGCGCTCGAGGGACGTTAAAATGTTACATTATGTTTTTATTTTTTTTTTTTGTTTTTTTTTTTTATTTTTTTTTATACATTTTATATATTTTTATATTAAAACAAACATACAGTAGATATTAAATTTATTTAGATCCGCGCATTATGATAATATACGTCCTGTTTCACCCACATAATATTTTATTTCCAGTCGTGTGTGTCGTGATTTCCGCGGATAATTATATTAAGAGCACGTCGCTCATCGGGTACCTGTGTCAGGGGTTTATTATCGGTGCATATAATAACAGATATTATATATTATGTCATTTCGACCGAATTTTCATAAAAAAAAAAAAAAAAAAAAAATTAAAATTTTTAATTTTGACAAAAAAATATCCACATTTATTAATACGTACATAGTCCCCGTGTGATTAACACGAGTATTTATTCTGACTGTGTAATCATACAATTTGTTCGAAAATACTAAAATGCAAAACAGAAACAATATTGTAATGAAAATTGTTTGTCTATAATTTTTACGGTTGATAATTTAAAAAACGTTTTTCCGAATTCGGAAGATTAGATTGAAATTCAAAAAAAGTTGACGGATCGAACTCGCGTGGGCACTTCACAGCTGAATTCAAATCTGTTTTCAAAGGTCGTATCGCTTCATTATATCAATCGGATTGTTTGCCGGAAAATCGGTCTGAATTCTTAAAACGCATAACATGCGTTGAACTAAATGCAAATATCTGTATATAATCCTCCTGACAGTATTTACAGACAGTATAGTTCTTTTATTGCTTACGGGTAAAAAAAAACAAGGGCTGATCTAGCGTATGCTTACCTGTAGCTGCCTAAAATATAGGTATTAGAACTGCTTATATACATTTTAAAGTAGTCCATTGCAATATAGGTGTATAGTTTCTGCTTTACACGTTATTCTTGTCGTCAACTGGCTTGCGAAAACTATCGCGAAGGGTATACTTAGGGAATTTCGCCCGGAATACGCGTTGAATTTAAAACTTCGAAAATCAATAGTTGGTGACAAGAAGTTTACGTTGATCCCACGAGATTTACATTTCGGAATAAGTATATAGATAAGCACCACGCACCTATCCCAAAATAGTTTCAAGTCCTACCAAGTTCATACGTCGAACCGTATAACGATAATACAACATTATTCATACGAATAGATGTACAAATATCAATACAGATTTATCAAAAGTTGAACGTTATCATTGTCATTCATTTGTCGAGAATATACGCGAATACATTGAATTATCATTTTTATTTTCAGTTTTCAACAAAACTTAAACATTTTCGTTTTAGATTCTAAACGGAGCAAGGAATATATTTGGTTTTATTACGTACATCGTCTGATTTGAACAACTTTTCTACCATAAATCCTGCTCTAATTAAATACTATATGTATAGTAACTTTCTCGTAGCGTTTTTTTTTTTATCTCGTTGTGTAGAACAGATACATTTTCTATATATCTTTAGTTGGCACCAGTACATTTTGCTACAACTATACAACTGGTATCAACATTTTGCCGGTAAATTACAATAGGTTTATCATTGATTTCGTAACATTACTTTTTTTATTTTTCTAGCTATAACCAACGCATAAAGCCATGTTTTCGTTTTTATTTTATTTGTTGTCTACAGTTATATTATAAAATGTTGTCGTTTTGTCTCCAATGCGTGTTCATTCATTGTTTTCAAATAATACTATGAAAATAATAGTAGATAGGTACCAACAATAATTTAAAAATTTATCAAAACACTTGGCACAAACAAAGTTTATTTGTTTAAGTTTATATATTTAGAACGTTTTTAAATAATACGAGTAAGCGAAATAACAGGTAGGTAAATTAAGTAATCAGGCCGTATTACGGTCTAAGAAATCTGGAAAATTCCCATTTCTAAACCGACTACTCCACCCCTGGCTATCATCAGCAGTCATTTTACCAAAAAATGTATAATCGTCTACATAGATACGTTTGTAAAACGTTTTTAGGGAGAAAATGTTTTTTACACAAAAACATAATTTTAATTTTAACCGGACAATGTGCCGGTACTGAAGCCAAATTTTAAATCTCCCCGCAGGTGACAGGGGTCCTGGTAAAATCCGAAAATGCTTTATCACAATCTAGAAAATTTTTCTGAATAAAATGACGTATCTTTTGTTTTTCGAATCGAACAATATTCCGGTGCAGCCATAAAGATAGCACCAGCATATTTGTAGATTTCAAAAGTTTAGAAGCTCTAGCAAAGTCTAGCAAATACCTACCAAATTTTAAAACCACCTTTATAGTCCTAACATAATGTGCCAGTAGCAACGTGACAGACATAATTTTTCTTAATACACGGTAAAAACTGCCAATTTTTTGTATGATTTATGTTGAATTTTAGATTACCGCAGAACATGGGAAAAATACGACAGATAATGCTCTATTCAGAATCGTTTTCTATTAGCAATGGTTTATCGTCGATTATAGATATAAATTATTCTTAAAGATTAATTGGACTTCAAATTTGTTGTTCCACAATAAATAACGAGGACGGGAGGAGAAGTTTTGTTTTTTATTTTTCATTTTTTTTTCTCATTTTGAACATGGGTTTATTCGGGTAATGAGGTTTTAAGATCGAACATATTTTTAGTTAAATCCACACACTGCGGAATAAAATGTATAAGATTATTTCGGTTTGGCTTACCGCAACAATAATTTTAAAAAAAATCGGTAAGAATATTTTGTTTTTTTTTTTTTTTTTTAATAAATTTATATGTAAATTAATTGTATTGTTTTTCACTAGTGTTCGGTTGAAGCGACCATTATAAAAATAGTGTTATTATTATAAAGTGTATTAGAGTGTGGCTTTGAAACGGCGTGGCGGCTACGGTAGCGGGGTAAAAATCGTTATTTTTTGTATCGCTGAAAAACCGAAACAAAACAACAGAGGTCTAACGATGACGGTAATAGTGTAGCGGTCGGTTAAAAAAAAAAAAAAAAAAAAAAAAACCGAAATTAATAATAATAATAAAACCTTTGTCGATATTATAACCTTGATTGGAACGTTTGTTCCGAACGGTTTTAATTTAAGTCACGGCCCGGCGGCGGCGGCGGCGTTCGAGCGGCCCGTAAGGAGAACGGGGAAAAAAAAAAAAAAAAATCAAATTTCCACCGGACAGAAGAGCGCGCGCGCGTCGCGTTGTCTTGTTGTGCGTCAGTGCGACGGTAAAGCGGCGAGATAGTGGCGAACGTGCGGGACGGCGGCCGAGGCCGGCCGCGAATGGTTCTGACGCGGCGGAAAACCGCGATGATTTATCTAGAGGGAAACGGCGGCGCGCGCCCCGGCCGTCCGTTTATCAGCCCGAAACGGGGCGCGATGCGCGCAGGTAGACGCGGGCTGCCGGTACCGGCGCGCACTTCGCCAACAGTGCGTAACGCTAATAGCGATTTCTAATTATTGTCGCCGTTCCGGAACGAACGACGGCCGGAAACGCGCCGCGATAATTGACGAAACGCGCGTGTGCGGCGGCGGCCCGCGGGCTTTGCGCGCGGGCCGAATGACGGGATTTCGAAAACCGCGGCGGCACGGCGTTCTGTCGTGTCGCGCACGCTGGGAGACGGGATCCAATACCGTTACGTTTTGGCGGCCGTACGCGATCGCAAACCCGAATCGTCGCGTTCGTTTGTCCCGCCGGCCCGGGCGCGTAAAACTGCGCCGCCCTTGGGAAAAAGGAACATTTTGGGCACGCCGTTCGACGATTCCGAAAAAAAAAAAAATAAATAAATAAATAAAAAATACGTCCACTTATTCATACGGATTCGAAATGATTACGCTACGGCATTTTCGGATTTTACCGCGGGACCCATGTCACACGCGAGGAGGTTTCGAATTCGGCTTCGTCGCCGGCACGCCGTTCGATCGAAATCGATTGCCAACGGATTCGTCTTTTTCACCGTTACGCCTGTTACGAATGACGAATTTTATTCTCACGGTGTAACGAGATAAAATTCAAGAAAAACGGACGAAAATGCATTTTCGATTTCCCCGGCGAATTTATCAAATGTAATGGTTTCACAGCCTATTCGTTTCGAAAATTTTTAGTTTTTAATTTCAATTTATCGTTGTCGTTGTAACGGAAAACAATTCGCAGCGGAGTTCGATCGTAGGTGTTTTGAAAGGCCGTAATAATTACTATTTGAAGATAATGCGTTTGGTCAATTTTCACGTTTTTTCCGATCACTATAAAAAACCCCCCGAGAAAGTCGAAAAACGACTTGCTTAATGTGCCATTCCAGGAAAATTTCCATTCAGTGCTACACTCGAAAATCGGAGCAAAATTTCTGATAGAAAAGTTATTTACAGAAAAAAATCTGTGCTCAGTTCAGAATCTAAAATACGCAACAGAAGTGGATATTCATATTAATTTTAATACTTGTCTGTCTGTTTAATACGCATTGAAACTTTTCCGTCCCGTGAGTCACTTAATGCTGTTCCTCTCTGGGGCAAATTCCTCCTCTTATCCACAATTGAACGCGGCACTGAACCGTAGAAAACAATAAATCTTTATAATTATTATTTGTTGATTTCGGGCTTCGGTTATCGATTTCGTTTGAAAATGCATACAAATGTGCCAACCAGATTGGAAAATAAATCACATTATAAAAAAAAAAATCCGGATATTGACTCAAATTGAGATATTTTTTTCTTAAAACTATGGAGATATATTTTATACGAAATTAATTTCAAGATATTATAGGATGACATAAATATTGACATTTATAATACACCGAGAATATTTACTTTCAAAGGAAAATGTCAGATAAGGCCGTGCGCCGTTCCACTCATTTTGACGAGCCGCCTCTGATAGATAATATATTTTGATGAATAGCGTGTGCGACGATGGCCAGCTTTTTTTAATGATACCCTGCACCGTCGACACTGCTCGAAAATTTCAAAATCTATTACGATCAAAAAAATAAATCTAAATTTTTTTAAGGAGAATTTTCAACAATAACGCGAAGAGATTGTATTGTGTGAGGTTTTTATTTTTCAAATAAATTTGTGGTGTGTTAAAATGTGTTACGAAAGTTCTATACAGTTTCTAAAAAAAAAAAAAAAAATCGAATTTAAATTTATAATTTACTATTTCGGATAATTTAATTTTGTTTATTAAAAGCAAAAATTATTTTTATTTTATTTTTATTATCTCACTCCGTCTGACAATAAATTTAATGTCTAAACGCATTTACTGCAGTTTCGTGCATATATATACATATATATATTTTATTTATTTGAAGAAAGCATAACTACGGAACAAAAAATTAATTTACACTAAAATATTAATTTATGTTCCGCGACTGTAAATTTGGCTACGTTTGATAATCATTATTATTTTTTTGTTTTTTTTAGTTTTCTCATAATTAAACCGTCAGTTTTTCGCTTTTAATTTTTAACATTTTAATGCCCCATTTTTATGGCAATTCGTTATTTTCCTTTTAAATTTCATCAAAGAACCCGTAACAAAACTGATTTCAAATCGGTTCTTTCGTGCTTGTGTGTGGCACTGTAGTGTAGTACTAGCTGCGCGTAATCTCTCAAAGTTAATTTGTTTTTCTTAAGTAAAGATATACAAAAAAAAAAAAAAAAAATTTAAACGTGATCAACCGAATCTATAATGGTATATAAAACACACGCATAATATTTTCTTTCGCATTTATTATAATTATTGATTATTACGCTGTTAATTTGTTTTTCCGGTAGTAATATTCTTCCCTGGATTCTTTCTTAAATCTTATAAAATTATTTAATAATATACTAGACATTTTTTTCCAGTTAAATCAAGAAAAAATAATCAACAAACTTTTAAGACTTTTTTTTAGGCTTTTATTACTTGCCTTTTTAAAAAAAAAAAAATTGTATACGTTCTCGAAAAGAATGCATTGGAGTTAAAACTTTATACTTGATAAATAAAATAACAATTAGTTTTTAATTAATTTACGCCTCCGTCGTTTACTATATTATATTTTTATATATTCTTGAAAATATTTCATAATTAATTTCTGTTTTTTTTTTTTTTTATATAAAATCTTAGGATAAATAAAGATTTGTATATTACGTGCAAATTATGAACTTAAACATAATATAAATGAATAACGTAAAATTTAGTGCCGATTGAATACATAACATAATGGATATTAATGATCGTGTTTTACAATTTTTACTTCAATAATCGCAACGCAAAATTGATTTCATTCCTGAACTTCCAGATAGATTTTAAATATTATCTAGCCAGACATTATGAGTGATTTCAGAAATCTACTTTTGTACATACGAAGAAACGCGGACGGTTCCCTATGGACTTCTCGGAAAATTCCGTTTGCTATGGGAAAGCGTGCCAAGAAGAAACGTCGCGAATCTCTGAACGCAAATGTAAGACAAGAAATTATGAGCGGCTGACAGGGATAATTAATGGACGTCGGGTGTGTCGTGTACGGCGGGATCGTTCTACAATTGCCAATGTAATCTTAAGAAAAAGGGGGAAAAAAAAAATCGTTTTACGTAAATTATTAGGTAACGCCGGATTCTCCGAATACGACGGGTTTGTTCGATTATTTTTTTGTCTTTTGAATCGGATTGTTCACTCGAAAACTCAAAAATGTATTCTATTCGGCCCACGTAGAGATTTCCGTTCCCGAATCGCGCGATGTGTATACAAATATCCGGGTAAAATGTTCGGGATATTCGAGACACGATACTCTCGCACGCCGCTGCTCAGATTTCGTACGCCCGCCGGAGAACGGTCGCGGGTCTTGGAATACGATTAAATCGGCGACTCCGTAATATTATAATTTTCACCGGTCCGGGTCCGTTTGTATGCGTATTAACGCGGCGCGCGCGTAACGGCAAACGCGGTGGCGTCCGCTGGTAAATTATCAACGGCCAAAAACCTAACGTCCTCGCGCGTACGTTCGATATTCTTTTGGGCCGCCGGTCGCGCACACGAACCGACTACGGGCGCGTGGCCGGAACGCGTTAACGAAACCGAATTCACATATTCGCGCGGCGGAAACACGCGTACCGCCGCCGTTTTACGCGGCGGCGCGCACGCCCGACAAAATACATTTCCCGTAAATTCGGAGAACGGAAATAATTATCGTTATACGTGCCACGGCCGCCGTCGCGTAGACGCCCGCGCGTGTTTTACAGATTTCCCGTTGCCGTTGAAAATTTGACCGGGAAATTCGATTATTACAGCCGCCGTGCGGGTACGCGGAAATCCGATCACACGGTGGTTCGCGTAGTGTCGTATTATACCTAACCTACCCGCCGAGGAAACGAACATAATACTATTGTTTTTGCTCGTCGTTCGTGCAGCCCCGGACACTGTCCGCTGTCGACGGAAAGGTGACCGGGAACGTTTGGGATTTTCCGTTGAAATTTCCCAAAGAGTTACCTTTTTTTTTTACCGCACACGATATCGTTACCGTCGAAAAAAACGAAATATCACGCGGATCGACGGAACAGCCGACTCTACGTGCAAATCTGAAGTTCGGCCAGCCATGTTCTCTACCGGGACGATTTATCGCAAACACGACGATACGTAGGAACACGCGAACCCGGACTTAATTCGCGAGTACGGTCGAAACAGTGCGATTATTATTAGTCCATCGTTACTGTCGGGTTCTATTCCTATAGCGGCTATTTATCGATGATAAGATAAATAACAGACCGCGCGTTTAATAACACGCGCAATAATAGGTTAAAAAAAAAAAAATCCATAAAATAATTTCAATACGAGAGACGCGTCCCAGTGAAACCTCTCCGTGTATACCCGGATGAGGGGAGAAGGCGTCGAAAATTTAGCACCCGGAACCAAAATGACCAAGACGAATTTATAGAACGGTTCAGTTTTTAATATAAATAAATGCAGTGAATTAAATACCGGAAAAATGTATATTTTATATTTGTTCGCGATTTTTACGGAATATCGTTGAAACGCGTGATAAATGTAAATGATTATGAATTTAACGTTATTTTAGATTCTGAACGGAGCGAGAAATTTATTAGTTTTAAAATTATGTATATTTATTTTTTCTTTACTGTTAACCACTTTTCTACCAGAAATTTCGCTCCGATTGTGAATTGTAACACTTTTTCTAAAAGGAAATTTAACACGGGACGTGGTACTATAAGTGGGATATTTTTTTGATAAAGGATTATCATAACAAATGGGAAAAACGGGAAAACGTACAAAGTGTATTATTCTCAAATCATACATACGAGTATTACGACCATTTAATCACGTAAAACACCGAACTTCGCTCAGAATCGTTTTTCGTTAGCGGTGATTAATCGTCGAGTACAGATATACGTTCAATTTCCTCTCTACCTTTCCGACTTCTCACCTGAAACAGTGGCCCGTTTTTTTTTTGTTTAATTTGGCTAGAAATTAATTTCATTTCTTTTCGAATTCGCGTAATTAACGAAAAACAAGTTTTCCCCGGTTCGTTCGAAATCCGGACAATAGATGCTTTAGCACGCCCGCACATTGCCCGTGTACCCCGCCTCTCCGGTCGCACCGCACTGCGCAGACGGTGGCGCAGCATCCGGACCGAGAAAATAATAACAATATAGATTTCGTTCGACCCGTAACGAAACGAGAGAAAAACAATAACCGGGTACTTAAGAGGTTCGCGGTCCCGGAGATTTCTCGTCGTCCGATATAGAGCTATCCGGGTTTTGATCTATATAAGCAAACCGCGCGCGGCAACCCTTCTGTTTGTATTGTTATCGCTGTCCGGCCGACTCGCCCAATACCTCCCCATCCACCGGCCGGTCGCGGGATATTCCCATTCTAAACGTTAATGGATAACGCGATTTTCGCGCACCGGAGACAGTAGAAATTGGTTATTAGCGCACGTGGCCGTTGGGGGGAAGGCATCGGGCGGAGGGAGTATATTATAGCTATTGTTTCTTCTCCGTGAAACTAAAAAAAAAAAACGAAGAAAATAACGGATCCGTTTTAAATTTACAGGACGATCCATTGAAGTGGATACACTCGATATTTCATAAAAGTATTTGCATTTTTGCAAAAAATGTTTATTTATACTATTAAATCTTCGAACTAATTAAATCGTATAACTCGTTATTTTTCATTGTTTTTGTTTGCCGGGAGTTGGAACGACTACTTTTAATTCTCAATTATCAACCCATGTTAAAAACGCCTTAAACAGACGGTGTGTTATCAGTTTTAAAAAAATTTCGGGGTTTCCGCCAACCCATTGACGGGATATTCTCCTTGTAAGTTAAAGTAGGGGAGTGTTATTAAAACGCCCCCTGCCGTGCTACCAAAAGTAATCAAAAGTACGTAAGTCTATTCATCCCTGAAAATAAAGACGACAAAAAATAACGTATAAATGTCATATTTTAGACATGATACCCTATGGCGAAAGTTGTAGGGAGCTTAGACAACTAAAGTCCCCAATGTGCTTGTCTCTTAAATTATTAGGAAAAAATAATTTTTGAAAAAAGAGTCGAGATACTTTTCGAAATATCGAATGGAGCCACTTAAATGGATATCTCTATAATATCGTTTAATCGTTCGTATATATTTCTATTATATTTTCAATAACTATAACGTTTATACGCAATAATAAAAATAGTGATTTTATTTTATCATTGGATTTCGATTTTATTATTGTTCTTTTTTTTTTTTTTTTTTATCTATTGTTATTATTATTAAACCGTTTGAATGAATGTCCCGGGGAGATCCGACAAACGCAATAACTTTCGTTCCGTAGGATATTTTTAAGATTTTCTTCCGTAGTAATAATCATTTCTTATTGCTCTATGATTTTTATAGGTATTTTATATATTTATTTATGTTTTTTTTTTTTTTTTTTACATAAAAATAAAAAAAAAAATGTAAAATTGCTAAAATTTAATTTGAAACAAAATTTTAGCGTTTCAAATGCTCACTGACGATGAATCAGTAATTTTCAATAAGTTTTTTGAAGTTTACATCAATCGTTTATTGTTCATAGGAAATTGGTTGAATCTATTGATATTATTTTTACACAGAATGTAGAAAATTACCGACTAAGCACTAATAAACATAATGTGTAACACCGATATTCTGATTCAAATTAATATTATTAAATCATGACTTTGTAAAAATAATTATAATTTTTAATTTAAATAAAAATATGAAATAAATAAATATATATATATAGTAAATTCAATAAATCAATAAATAACAATTATAGTGCAAATCTTTATTAACTGTTACGATAACGAAAGAACTTAAAAATACTAAACAGAACAAATGTTATTGCACTTGAAGATTTCCCCCGGATATCCTGTAAACAAATATACTTATGCCACTCAAGTGTTAATAGAATATGATTGGTAATTTATCGAAAAAATTGTGAAACGATAAATAATGATAAATATATCAGATCAACTTAAAAAATAAAGTGATAGTTATCTTTAAAAATATTTTGTATTGTGCGATTTCATTCTTAGACAGAGTTTTGCTGTTCAAGGGTAATTTAGATTTTATAGAGATGTTTATCTTTTTTTTTTCTTCTTTTAAGCGCAACTATTCTGTTAGAAGAAGACCTGCTCAGATTTTCAAGTGATTTTCTGAAAGAAAATTTTTTTCCGATTTTCTTCAATTTGAAAAACCAAAAGCAAATTCGGGAAAATGTACAAAATATCTTACTCAAATATTACGATTTTATTTTCCTGTGCACAACTTTTCAACCAGTAATTTTGATCCAACGTTTAATGATAGTAATGTTTCTAAAAAGAAATTTTAAATTAAATTTCACTAGCGAAGTAATTTCGAGAGCTCATTTTTTTTTTTTTTTTGGTGCATTCTAGAGGTTTCCTAACAAATGTGAAAGACTGGGATAAAACATGGAAAAACCTGGAAAAATGTAGGAAGATTGGGAAAATCGACACAACGTTAAACAAATATTATTAAAGAAAATATATAAAGCCTATTAAATTATTTTTCTATAAAATTATATATATATTGTTGACAGAGCATCACTATCAACTGATTTTCGCTCAGAATCGTTTTTCGTAAGCAATTGTTTATCATTGCTTACAGGTATACATTAAATTATCTGTAACAGTGGCCGTACCCGTCCCCATTATTCTAGGACGTCTTTTTCCTTTTAATTTTAAATAAATTACTCTTAAAATTAAACTAAGCTGATAATATTTATTTTGTGAACACTATAATTATAATTTATTGCTATTAAAACGATTTCGCGATTTAAAATGTTCAGTAATGTACAAAAGTTATTCAGTTTATAGTTTCTCCGTATTTTACATAAGCACATTCAAAACATGTTCTCGAACATTAATCATTTTTCTTTATGGCCGGATCACTGAGAATAATAAAGAAAATAAAAACAATATAAAGTTTACTTTTGGTACCTATACTTTTTTTCACTCATTAAAAAAAAAAAAAAAACCAATGTTTTTTAATTTGTTTTACCGTTGTTACTGCGAAGGAATTTCCAAACTTAAATACTTGTGACGAGTTATAACTTGTAAATGTTTGATAGTGACTTTTTATTATTTGAAAATCCTTAAAGAATTATATTATATCCAATTGAAACATTAAATAATAATAATAAAAAAAGATAGTAATCATTTTGAACTCTTCGGGGTAAGTTCACTGTCATCATTAATTTAAAATTATTGGCTTATTTGAGTTTTTGTTTGTAATATTGTTCGTGTTTACATCATTATAATTATT